CTCCCACCTCTCCCTCACAATGTTATAACAACGTTTCTTATAACTTGGTGCCACGATGGAGTTTTCTGTTAAACTTTTCACTTTGAGATTCTTTCTTTACTATTCGGGGCGGCGGGGTAGCCTAATGGTTAAAGCGTTGGCTCGTCATGCCGAAGACCCGGGTTCGAATCCCCACATGGGCACAATGTGTGAAGCCCATTTTTGGTGTCCCCCGTCGTGATGTTGCTGAGATATTGCTAAAAGTGGCGTAAAACCAAACTCAGTCAGTCAGTCTTTACTATTCGACCCCTGAAGATCTATGTTAGAATTGGTCTTCGGTAACACATGCTTGTCGTAAGAGGCGTCTAACGGGATCGGGTTGTCAGCCTTGCTGACTTGTCATTGAATCCTAATTGCGTAGATTGATGTTCATGCTGTTGATCATTGGGTTGTCTGGTCCAGACTCGATTATTAACAGACCGCCTCCATATAGCTGGAATATTATAATAATAATATTAATAAGAAGCCATTTATAAAGTGCCTTTCCACGTCACAGGCATATGTTCAAAGCGCTTCCTGAGCTTTGGGCACACAACAAACCAACCAATTATATTTCTGCACTATTCAGCTCCAGCTTCAGAAAACATGATGAAACTGCATGCAAATTGAACACCAACATTTAAATGAATTTCTGCTTTGTTTCTTATACACTGTTCACTACTTAGAAAACTATTTAACTATTAACGTTAAACGGAACGTTAAGACAAAATATGTTAAAATAATTACTACCGCGTTTATTACGCAACTTTACCGTTTGGGTCGTCACTGGCCCTTTTTCTTTAGGGCACAGTGTTTTGTACACCTCTCTTCTCAGATTTCGGGACATGATCACAAGCTTGGCCATCGGAGTACAGGTTTCATCGAATATATATAGCAGTAAGTGTTTCACCAGTGACATCATATTGTGAATAACAGGGATTAATCTTTATTGGTTAAAATAAGAATGCGATAGCTTGTGGTTTCTGTGCAGATGGTGTTTATTGAGGCAGCATATTCAGAACAGAGAGGAGTGGCGATTCCAACAACTGTGCCGATAGATAAGGTATGCGCGATGCAATAATAAATGCAAACATCTTCCATCATGAAAATAGTGAAATAAATCAGAAAGGGTTGTGTTGCTCCTATGAAGGAATGACACCAGACATTTCATTATTACCAATGTTGCACCCACTCGGACTTGAAATTGCCTGTCGGTTAAACACTGTGATATAAAAATAGGTAAACGACCCCTTAAACCAAAATCATGTAAATCCTTTAAAATGCCATGCTTGCAGGTAGTATCGTATGCTTTCTCGAGATCAAAGAATATCGATAGTGCATGTTGTTTATTTACTATTGCATATTTGACAAAGGATTCTAAACGTACCAAATGAGCAATGGTGCTACGATTTTTCCTGAAACCACATTGAATATTTGTTATGAGGTTATTGGTTTCAAGATACCATGTTAACCTATTGTTTACCATTCGTTCCATGGCTTTACAGACACAACTCGTTAAAGATATTTATTGAAAGTCGTTTCTAATTCAAAGTGGGGAGGGGACCAAACTACCCTCCTACACCTGTATAGATCACTGGTCCTCTCGAAGCTTGATTATGGCTCCATCGTGTATCACTGCTGCCGGCATTGAGCTGGAAAATATATCTCCTTCTCGTCTTCTTTCTTCTCCTCCTTGGCAATTGGTTAGGCCACAAGTCGACCTAACACTCACTAAATTTAAAAAATCAGAAACTAACGAATTACAATATAAACAAGAATATAATCAATTAAAAAGTAAATATAATAAATATAAATCCTTATTTACAGATGGGTCCAAGGATGCAGGCGCAGTAGCTTGTGCCACGGTCATTAGGTACAAAACAATATCTTCCAGATTACCCAATGACAGTTCAAATGTCACAGCAGAAGCAAACGCAATACTAACAGCTCTAAAATATATTAAGAGACACTCCAAATGTAAACAATATATCATATTTTCAGATTCTCTTTCTTGCCTTCAGGCTATAAAAAATCTCTCTTGCAAACATCCACTTTTATTAGAAATTATTGAATTATATAATGAGCTTGCTACTGGCCAATGCGACATCGTCTTTTGTTGGTTACCCAGCCACGTTGGCATTTCTGGGAACACAATGACTGATCTTGCTGCCAAGGCAGCACTCAACATATCTGTGACACCACTTCTTATTCCATATTCTGATTATAAAGCTGACATTAGAACTTACATCCGAGATCTGATGCAGAAGAAGTGGGGCACTCAAGTAGGTATTAATAAATTACATGCAATAAAACCTTATATTGGTTACACCTACTTGGGTTGTCAGTCCAGATTTGAGGAGGTCATTATGCGACGATGTCGCATTGGCCATACGCGTTATACTCACAAATACCTATTGAAAGGTGAGGATCCTCCGTTTTGTATCCCTTGTGATGAGAGAACCACGGTGAAGCATGTCTTGCTTGACTGTGTTGAATTCCCAATCATAAGAGATAAATATTTCAAAGTAAAAACAATGAAGGATCTTTTTACAAATGTTAATTATCATTTGATTATTGTTTTTTTAATGAAATGATTTGTTTGATGAATTCTGATTATTGTGTTCTATAAAAAGATATATTTTAAAGATTGGAAATTTGGATTAGTATCTTAGATTGTTAGTGGCTGTACCGTCAAAGGAGGTTAAAGTACTGTAAAATGATTGTCCTCCTGAGAGTGTACGTAAGTCCCAATACTTTCAAAGTAAAATATAAATTTACCGTATTTTAAACATAGAATCTTTGTTCTTTTAATTGCCGGCTAAATTGTCCTACAATCGCCAGCGGCTGAAGGGATGGTGTAAATCCAGCTAGGGTCTATGCAAGTAACAAAAGTAATGTAAGTCCCCATGGTTCCTAGTATGATGATCTACCTTCAGTTGTTGGCGATCTATAGCCTATTTTTGTATTGTGCTGTCCCCTGAAGTTAAAATGTTTTAGATTTAATTACTAGTTTTACATGTATATCTGTGATATTCTAGTTGTTTTGCTTTCCTTCGTCGTCAGGTTTTTATAATATCTGTATATATGTTCTATTTAAATGTCAAATGTTCTCGTCATGAGATGGCTGTAATAATGCCGATATGACGTTAAATATTAACTCACTCACTCACTCTCATGTGTTGTAAACTCAGGGACATAACTGGATGAAGACGAATGTTTGGCGAGAGTTTCACCAAGCTTATTGGCAATGTCAGCCTATCAGTTAACAAATTATCACCGTCCTTTCAGTGATGAACGGTAGATTTGGAACCTTTGCCCTTTATTCTTTGTATCATGTTCCACACCTTTGACATCGGTGTGCGCGAATTTATTTTGGAAACATAGTTTTGCCAAGACTGACGCTTATTCTGTTTATAAGCGCGTCGCGCCTTGGCAGTTAACATTTTAACATTATCTAAATTATGGACTGTAGGATGTCGACGAAATTATTTTTCTGCTTTCTTCCTACACTTTCTGGCCTGTTTACATTCGTTATTGAACCATGGTTTACGAATATGTGGAACTGCAGAGGACTGAGGAATTGTTCTGTCAGCAATGCCATTAAGGATATCAGAAAACGACTGAATAGGATCTTCACTGTTCCTAAAACGATCATGAGTTCAGTGTTCAGCACACAGAGTCTCATATAATGACCATTCAGTCCTGCCGAAGTTATACTTCTTGATAAAGGTGGATCATCATCAGGGCTGATTGTTTTGAGAATGGTGGGGAAGTGATCACTCCCACACAGATCCTCATGGACCATCCATTCGAATTCATTATACAAGGTTGAATCGGTGAGTGATAAATCCAGGGAAGAATATGTTCCCGTAGCTGGATGTAGATAAGTGGCTGAGTCGTCATTGAAAATACATAAATTGTTATCGGAAATGAATTCTTCAAGGAGTTTACCTTTGGTATTAATATAAGCATTTCCCAAAATGGGTTATGTTCGATAAGATCGCCCATGATAAGACATGGCTTCGGAAGTTGATCAAATAGATTTTGAAGATCGGACTTTTGAATATTAGAAGAAGGCGGTATATACAAGCTGCATAATGTCAGCGCAATGTGCAGGGTCAGACGAACAGCAACAACTTGAAGATCCGTATTTAGAGTGACAGGGATATGAATGACGCTCTGATGTACCAAAATAGAAGCGCCTCCAGTAGTGAGTGAGTGAGTGAGTTTAGTTTTACGCCGCACTCAGCAATATTCCAGCTATATGGCGGCGGTCTGTAAATAATCAAGTCTGGACCAGACAATCCAGTGATCAACAGCATGAGCATCGATCTGGAAGCGCCTCCAGTAGTTTTATCGCCTGGGGGGAGGCGAATGATAATCATTATACCGTCTTAAGTTAAAGTTATCAGTATTTTTAAGAATGCTGACGGTTGAAGATCTCGTATGAGTAATTGTATTTCATTGAAGTTATTCTTCAGTCCTCTGCAATTCCACTGAATTAGATTGGTCAAGTGATTCATGGTGGTTTAATTGGAGTGAGTCCACGTGAATATCTAGAGGTGCAAATGTATTCTGTCTTCAAACCTCAGGAGATGAAGGGACAATAGGTTGTTTGTCTCTATTTAATCTGTTTCCTTTCTTCTGTTTTGAATTTTCACTGATTGGTTTAGAAACAGGCGTTTCAGATTGATGCTCATTGTGATTTTCTGTTTGAGAAACAGACGTAGAGTGTGTGACTTTCGAAATACTCTGAAGGGCTGAAGCAGAAGGAATAGGTTTACGTGATGTAACCCATGTCAAGTCGGTCTGACAGGAAACGGAGGACGTTGCTACAGAGCGGGTGACTGCAGCAGAGTAGGTCAGGTTTGACTGAGTCTGAGTTGATGGAGTCAACAGTTGCTTTGCCTCATGGTATGAAATATTGTTTTGGTCACTTGACTTTCAATATATGTGATTCCTGTTGATACACGGGACATGACCTTGATGAGGCAGAATAGGAACCATTACAGTTGGCGCACTTATATTCTTGCTCACAGTCAGAACCATCATGTCGATCACCACAACGATGGCAGACTGAGGAGTTTCGACAGGATTGCGAGCCAAATGTTGACATTCATAACAACGGAGTGGACTGGGGACATACAGATCCACTCCGATGTTGAAATAACCAGCTTTGATAGACTTTGGAAGAGATGAACGGTCAAAAGTCAGTAGATACGTGTTGGTTTTCACAATAATGCCTTCTTTCTTAATCGTGAATCGTTTCACTGCAGATACACCTTCATCTGCCAACTCTGAAGCAAAGTCCTCCTCTGACATATCAGCGAGACAGCGTGCTCTGTCTCGGATAATGCCACGACAAGAGTTTAGCGTCCTGTGCACAGACACAGCAACATCAATGTTTGCAAATGTCTTGATCGACAACAGATTTAGAGATTGCTGTCTCCGTGCACACTCGACAAGAAGCGAGCCACTGCGAAGACGGGTAACATTTGTAACTTCTCCACAAATTCCGGAGATGGCCTTTGAAATTGCAAAGGAATTAGGTTTAAGTGGAAGAATGTCCGAAGCCTCAAATCTAGCCCATGAGTCACTGTTAGAAGACACATGTCAAGTAGAGAGATCTACATCCTCTAAGCGTCTCTTTTGTTCATTTCTAGTTGAACCAGATGGTTGAAGTGCCATGATGAAAGGAAAAAATTTTCAGCACCCCTGCTCCCCACCCACCACGGAGTGTCAACAAGGACAGTGTCAAATAGCACCGGATAGCCAAGATGCCGACATCAGGGATACAGGGGTGTTATACTCCAGAGACATATCTCTATTTGCCTACCAATTACATGCCCGACTGGTTCGGCCCAAGACAAGAAATTAGAGACATGCATCATTTGGAGGTCATTATCACCAGATAGGCCCATGAGCCACCGCCTTCTGGCATAGGATTCTAGGCAAATGTATATAATAATATAATTTTGAAATGCAACATTCAATATCAACATTGCTTGCTTCGACCACACCCCCGTTTTGTGCGGACGTATCATTATCCATTTGTGACAAGATCGTTAAGTTAAGAGTCAAAATCGGGTTTCATTCGACTTGCAGAAATAACAATAAAGAATTGGTAGGTGTCATGAGTGGTGCGCAATAGGCCAATCATCCAACAGTATGTTTACATTAAGTTTAAATCGACTGCATGTGATAGTAGCTTAGCGATCGGCAAAGCAGGCGGGTGGGGTACACCGAAGTGTCCGGCCTTGTCATATTGTATAATACTGTGTTGCATTTCGAGTCGGGGGTCATCTCAATCTTTTTAATCTTTAGTTTCGCATAGACACGAGGGCATGTGGAAGGCACTTGACGAGTTGAAAGTCGTTTCCAATTCTATGTGGGGAGGGAATCATGCTACCCTCCTCCATCTATATCGATCACTGGTCCGTTCAAAATTTGATTATGGCTCCATTGTATATGGCGGAGCCTGCAAAAGCAACCTCAAGCTTTTAGATTCTGTCCACCACCAATGTCTAAGACTTTGTCTTAGGTCCTTTAGAACTTCACCTGTTGACAGCCTCTACGTCGAGGCTGATGAGCCATATCTTAACCAACGCCGTATAAAATTAACGTTACAGTATATAACAAACCTATTTTCTAACGAGTCAAACCTTGCATATAACAGTCACTGTGTCTTTCATCCTCTTTACGGGGATTTGTATAACAAGAAGTCTTCTCTTTCTCCGCCTTTTGGAATAAGAGTGAAACATTTCCTTTCTGCTGCTGGCATTGAGCTAGAACATATATCTCCTTCCCGTCTTCTTTCTTCTCCTCCTTGGCAATTGGTGAGGCCACAAGTTGCCCTTGCACTGACAACATATAAGAAAATCAGAAACTAATGAATTACAATACAGACAAGAATATAATTAATTAAAAACTAAATATAATACATACAAATCCTTATCTACGGATGGGTCCAAGGATGGTGACGCAGTGGCTTGCGCCACTGTCGTTGGATCCAGACCAATATCTTCTACATTACCAGATCACAGCTAAATTTTCACAGCAGAAGCAAACGCCATCTTAACAGCCTTAAAATATATTCAAAGACACCCTAAATGCAAACAATATATAACCTATTCAGAATCTCTTTCGTGCCTTCATGCTATTAAATTATTTCTTGTAAACATCCACTTTTAATAGAACAATTATTGAATTATATAATGATCTTACAACTGGCCAATACGACATCGTCCTCTGTTGGTTACCCAGCCACGTTGGCATTTCTGGGAATACAATGGCTGATCTTGCTGCCAAGGCAGCACTACATAAATCTGTGACAACACTTCTTATCCTATACTCTGATTATAAAGCTGTCATTAGATCTTATATTCATGATCTAATGCAAAAGAAGTGGGACGCCCAAGTAGGTATAAATAAACTACATGAAAGAAAACCCTACATTGGTTACACCTACTTGGGTTGTCAGTCCAGACTTGAAGAGGTCACCATACGATGATGTCGTATTGGCCACACAAGATATACACATGAATATTTGCTTAAAGGTGAGGATCCTCCGTTTTTATCCCTTGTGATGAAAGAATCACGGTCGAACATGTCTTGCTTGACTGTATTGAATATTCCATCACAAGGGATAACTATTTCAAATCACGAACTATGAAGGATCTTTATAATAATGTCAGTTCTCATTTAATGATTGCATTTTTAAGAGAATTAGATTTGGTAAATGATTTGTAAATATATAAATATTTTATTATTGGTAGTTTACATTACAACTGAGATTGTTAGTGGCTGTACCCTCAAAGGGAGTTAAAGTACAGTAAAACCATTGTCCTCCTGAGAGGGTACATAAGTCCCAAAGCAATCCAAGTAGATTTTAACCTACTGTTATTTTTAATCGTACCATATATGTTCTTTCAATTTACGGCTAGATTGTCAAAAAATTGGTGACAGCTGAAGGAATGATGTAAATCCAACTAGGGTCCATGCAGGTAGCAAAGGTACTGTAAGTCCCCATGGTCCCTAGTATGGTGATCTACCTTCAGTTGGCGATCTATAGCCTATTTGTATATTGTGTTGTCCCCTATAGTTAGAATGTTTTAGGACCCGTGAAGATCCGGGGTAGAATAGGTCTTCAGCAACCCATGTGCTTGCCATAAAAAGGCGACTATCTTGTCGTAAGAGGCGACTAACGGGATCGGGTGGTCAGTTTCGCTGACTTGGTTGACACATGTCATCGGTTCCCAATTGCGCAGATCGATGTCAGTGCTGTTGATCACTGGATTGTCTGGTCCAGACTCGATTATTTACAGACCGCCGCCATATAGCTGGAATATTGCTGAGTGCGGCGTAAAACTAAACTCACTCACTCACTAGAATGTTTTAGATTTAATTACTAGTTTTACATGTATATCTGTGATATTCTAGTTGTTTTACTGTGCTTCGATGACAGGTTTTTTACGTTATACATTTATTGATTTGCCTATTGATATCAACTGTTCTCGTCACGATATGGCCGCAATATTGCCGATATGACGTTACATTTTAACCCACTCACTCACGTGTACAGGGACCGAAAGAGATAAAGAACCTGTGAAATGTCTTTCGGAGTAGGTTAGGTCAGTCGTAATGTTCACTTTGGAAGAATGCACAAACTGAAAAGAGGAAAAAGAGTTTCTATCCAAAGTTTGGCTGCCCTGCCTGAAAAGTTTGTAGTTATTCCAACTGACAAGGCCTGACATAACATAACCATTAAATGTAATTACATCAATTATATCAATTGTATGATCAAAGAGCTTGGTATACGTAATATATAAAATAATGCCACATATGAGGCCAGTATGTTATAGTATGACCAGAAATTATCGAGAATTTTAGGAATATGTTTAATTGGATTTCTAGTATAAACAACCTTGACCAGCTATCAAGTGCTTGGTTTCATTCAAGGGAGACAACTCCGTTAACCCTTTTTCATTAGTTTGTGAAGAGTTATCCCCTTTTGTTTACTTGCTAGCAGACGGCATTTTCAGTGATCCTCAGTATCGATGATGTAGAGAAGAGGAAGTTGATTTTAGAGTATTATAACAAGGACATCAGATCAGCTAAAGTGATTTCAAGTAGAACAGGCATCCCTTTGTCCACTGTTTATCGTGTTTTGAAAAATATTGCAAATGGATATGGCATTGAGCACCAGGGTGGCGCAGGTAGGCCAAGAAAATTGACTGTCGGTGACAGGAGGCGGCTTTGTATTCTTGTTTGTAAAAACAAACGAAGAAGTTTAGAAAACTTAAGGCTGGATATGATTGATAGAGGAACTATGGCTGTCTGTAAGGAGACAATTAGTACTGAGATGCATGCAATTGGTTGGCAGAAAAGTCGAGGAATTCCATCACCGATCATGAAACCTGAACAAAAGGAGCGAAGGTTGAACTCGTGCTTACAGCATAGACATGTTAACTGGGACAATGTGATTTTCTCAGATGAAAGTTCTGTGTGGCTGTTTCCTTGTACACTGAAATTCTGGACCAAACAAACTGAAAAACCTTTGTATCAGCGCCCAAAGTATAGTCCGCAATTTAACGTGTGGGGTGGCATATCTGTGTTAGGGGCAACGCCCCTCTCTGTATAAGAAGGGAATATGAACAGTGAGCGGTACACAGAGGGACATTTACTTTCATCTGCTCACGTGTTCTATGGAATTTTTTTGATTTTCCAGCAGGACAACGACCCAAAACATCGTTCAAAGCATTCACAGGCCTGGTTTCGGACCCAAAATATGACATTATTAGATTGGCCAAGCTATAGCCCTGACCTAAATCCAATAGAAAATGTTTGGGGACTTATGAGGGAATGTGTCAATAAGAAAAATCTGACAAATATTCCTGAAAGGAAAGAAGAGGTTGTCCGATATTGTGACAGCATGGACCACATCTTTCTAACTTCTTTGATCAGTAGTATGCCCCGCCGCATTGAAGCTTGCATTGCTGCCCATGGTGACTTGACAAAATAGTAACTGCTCACCTGTCTTTGAATCTGGAGTTATCTTCTGCTAATATTCACATTAATACGTGAGTAATGAGAGAAAAGTAAAAAAATAAATTACAATCTTAAATTCTCAATAATTTCTTGTTGTAATGTAGCTGAGGAAGAAAGCTGCCCAAACCCTTTAACGGTGCTATGAACGTTTGGTTTGACTCTTAAAACAGAAGACATGCAAATTACTCTTTTTGAACTGGATTACAAAACTCCATAAAAATCCGTCTTGTCTCAAACATTAACCATCATCCTTAATGCTTTCAAGGAGGAACTTTTTCAAAGAAAGTTTTTGAGACAAGAAGAGTTAATACCATGTGGATTTTCAAAACTCAAATAATGTGCTTACAATTTTAAAATCACAAAAAAAGCCAAGTTCCCTTCTGTCAAAATCTTGGATTTTCCAACATTGTATGCCACTATCCCACATGACAGACTGAAGGGAAAACTTCATTCCTTGATCCACTCGGCATTTGTAAACAAACGTTGTGAACAAAGATATTCCTACATATCTATCTTAAGAGGTTCAAGAGAATTTGCCAAAAATGAAAGCAATTGTCATTTGAAGTGAAAACAATAATGTGAAATGCTGGACTTTCTCATTGATAACATCTTCGTGAGATTTTGGGGTAAAACATTTCGCCCAGAAGTAGGCATCCCCATGGTCACCACTTTCTCTTCTCTCCTTGTGGATCTGTTTCTTTATGCACATGAACCAGAACTTCTGCATGTGTTGGCAAAATCAAAATAAGGCAATTTGGCCAAGAACTTAAGATTCCGGTAGATCGTTCAGTAACCATCGAATAACCAATTGCCTTCCACTGATTTACCCACCTGAACTTAAAATTAAGGAGACACGCGAGACGGCCACAACTGTTATATATTTACATCTATGCATATAGACTGACATAAATAGTGACAAAAACTGTCCACAAGTCTGTATGACAAAAAGGGGCGATTTCAACTTTCCAATAGTCAACTTCCCTTTCATGTCGAACAATATTCAAAACGCTCCGGTCAAAGTGCAGGTCATTGTAAGGTTTGGATGTCACGTTTATTTAGGACGTCCAATGTTGCTCTTCCAGCTAGGCTCCATGCAGGTAGCAAAAGTAATGTAAGTCCCCATGGTTCCTGGTATGGTGATCTACCTTCAGATGCTGGCGATCTATAGCCCGTGTTATATATTGTATTGTCTTGTTTAATTACACTGTTTTAGTTTTACGTGCTAGTTTTATGGTCATTTCTGTGAAACTCGAGTATGTTTACTGTCCATCATCGACAGGTTCAACTCTTCACAATGTTATAATTTTTTTTTTTACATAAATTGTTTTCGTCACGATATGGCTGAGATATTGCCGATGTGACGTTAAATATTAACTCACTCACTCACTCACTCACTCCAATGCTGCTCTGGCCTGGCACTGCAGCACGAGCGTTGTTTTGCTGAAAGATGTGATTTCTGTGACGTTCAAAATGTGATACAACGTGGGGTCTTGTGACTTGGTCAATATATAATTAGCAGCTGTCATGCCATTTCCTCGTCCTGGACCAACTCTCTGGTTCAGACCAACCGCACCCCACATCATGATACTTGCACCACACCACGAGTCTCTTTCAACAATACTCTCATCGAAAACCGCTCCTCACGCCTTTGTATACATTCACTCTGCCATCGACTGTCGAAACACAATATCGGCTTTCATCATAACGCTAATTGAGATGCTGAGTGGCCCATTGCAGTCGGTTTTGGCGGTATGACGGTGACAGCAAAGGTTTCTTTCGCGCACGCAAAGTCGACGCACTGTATCGGTACTAAAGAGTGTGTTGTCAGTCACAATGGCCTGGCGTGCTGTTTCCGTCACTCTGATAAGGCGATCCTGCAGATGGTTGCGCATAATCTGTCGGTCTTGACGATGTGGTGTTATTGAAGGTCTTCCACGGTCTTTGTTGCTGTTAGTTGCTGATACCGCTCCAACAGTCAGTAGATTGTCCAAACATGAACATTAAAATGACTGGCTAGCCGCCGTGCAATCTGGCCAACTTGCAATCGTGCAAGGCTTGGTCTTTCTGATCTCTCGTAATCCGTGGCATGACTGTTGTGTCAAAACAAAAATGATTTCAGGTGAATTTGGGACTCGCTTTCATTGGCAGGATTGTCACAATATGAACGTGCATTTGCATTTTCACGAATGTCATTTGGAACCTTTTACCACGTCTGTCTTTTGATGCGTTTGGTCGAGATGCTCTTTCATCGGAAAGCAAACTGATGCTGATAGTAACTGTGAATTTGGATTGAAAAACATGTTAACAAATCGGTAGAATCATGATAAAAACACTATCTTGTTTGGCTTGAAAGGTGGCGTTTCTTTTGCAGTTCATTATATGTGTACTACAGAATTCTGTCCAAAATGATGGTCCCTCCTGATCCCATTAATCAAGCACAGCCCCATATAGAGGCAAGCGTTTGTTTGACTCTCTCCCAAATATGCTCCGCGTCTTGTGCAAGTCATGGCGTGGTGAGCTATATTCAGCCCCATGCATCTTATGGGGCTGGTGTAAAATCAAATAAATATTCATCTCCATGGTTAAACCTAGGTTTAATGAATATAAACAAATAGATATGTTTAGGGTGTTTTGTAAACTGCACCACGTAAAAAAAGTGCACAGACAGTAGATCAATCGTATAGTCGATACATACCCTACTTCTATTTACTATTCATCCACTGTTGCAGCCAGGGTGGATATCATATTCTCCATGTGGATTAACTTAATATGTATTTGTTCCATTAGTAACTGTTCACTGGGTAGATTGTTCGATCCCTCCTGATAAAGATTTGTTTTATGTGGCTCAGTGTCTGTTACACACGTATCCTTGTAACGTCTGTTGCAGAGTACGTCTTTCATGCTATATTATTTACACATATCAATTTCTGTCTGATCACAGACAGCAGAAGTTGTACCGAAGAATCAGTATACTTGTATCTCCATATACATATAAGGGCACGTCCTAATTATTACAAGGTAAGCTGGATAAAACGTCATTGTACTCAAATGCTTGCATTTTATCTTTTTTATATCATAACTAATTGGGGACAGCATAACACTTTGAAGGGAAACAACTGTGAACACGTTGAAATGTCGATCGGCTTTTTCTTCGTGGAATCACAATTCAGACTATAATTTCGACAGTTTTTTGAATTCTTGTACATATCGGAGGATCGAAGAATGAGAAGCGGTAGATCATAACAAAGAATATACAACAAAGATATACAGCCAACAGTTTCTGTTGATCATATATAACATCGATGAACAGCATTATTATGCAAATTAAAAACTACAAAGTAGCAAACCTACATACATGTACATTACCACTTGAACACATAACAGTAATTATCAATCTACGTATTATCGGTTAATCCTTTAAATGAAGATTTTTGAAAGTCAGTTGGCCATTCCGCTCTTGCTGCGCTGCCACTGGAAGTGAGTAGTTATTGTATTAAATGTAATATGCCTGGAAATGTTGTGGTCGTCGCTGTTTTGAGTACATAAACTGAACGTAATACGTCCACGCCAGTTGTTGTATATTATGGTACATAATTGTACATAACTTATCCACTAATATTAAAACTTGCAAAGTGAAAGGTTCTGCAGAGCACAATCTGATCGAAAATTTGATTTCAAGGGAATGTCCTTGGTTTTCAACTAGACTTTTTGGAATCCAGTTTCTTGGTAGCTAAAAGTTGGAAGTTGTGCTGAAGAATCAGTATACTTTATCTCCATATTCAACATCATATAATGGTAGAGTTGTTATCAGATAAGTTGGCTAACATGGCCACTGTACTCAAGTGCTTGTATTTTATCCTTTGTTCCCCAGATTCTGTTGAGCACAATCAGATCGAAAATTTGAATTCAAGCGGATTTCCGGACGCTCACTGGTTTGTCAGAATCCAGTTTGTTGGGTTTGTTGTCATCTAGTTATTACGCAGCCTTATTCAAATGGACAACTAAAGGTTGGAGATTTGTCTCCTTTTACAATAGGGTATACTGAAATAACTGGTTAAAAAACACAAACACAAACAAGTGTAGCATAGGTGGCCTGAACAAAACTTGTATTTCTTTGGATTCACGAGTTATATCAAATTGTATTTTGAGGATATTTTAGATTTATACCCAGTGTTAAAGTGTGTGTGTCACATATATATTCAACTCGTAACTATATCAGTACTCTTGTAGGGATTCATATCGTAAAATATATCTGAACTCATGTTGGGATTCAACCCGTCAATATGTCTGTACACATGTTCGGATTCAAATCGTCAGTATGTCTGTACTCATTCTGGGATTTAACTCGTCAGTATATCTGTACACATATTGGGATTCAACTCGTCAATATGGATGTATTCATACTGGGATTCAACTCGTTAGTATGTCTGTACTCAGGTTGGGATTCAACTTGTCAATATGTTTTTACTCATATTGTCATATTGGGATTCAAGTCGTCAATATGTCTGTACTCGTGTTGGGTTCAACTCATTATTTCAGTAGCAAATGCATGTACTCTAATCGTCAGTTTGTCTTCACCAGATGTAATCAAGTCGTCATGTTGCTACTCATCTAGGGATTCAACTTCTCAAAATTTGTGTTCCTCATGTATGTACTCAGTCGCCAATGTAACTTTATCACATGCATACCCTCAACCCGTGAATGTTCCTGTACCATGTAGGAATTCAAATCGTCAATGTGTCTGCACCACATGTATGTCTTTACTCGTCATTATTTCTGTACCACATGTTTGTACGCAACGCGTTATTAATCCAATCTTTCATTCTTTGCACCTATTACATGTTAGCACCATGTGACACAAGAAGCTCCAGCACGTGTCGTAGTCCCAGTGTCTTCGCTATCGAGGCGGCTGACTCTCTCTTTTCATTCTTCGCGTTGACGTCCACAATACCCTGCGACAGGATATATTCCACAACCCCGACATGTCCTCCCCGACAGGCCAAGTGAAGGATGTTGTCACTGCGTGCATCTCTGAGTGACAGATTAGCTCCTTTTTGCACGAGTAACTCAACCACGTCTCTATGTCCCCTTTCTCCTGCTACCATCACTGGTGTTTTGTTGCCATTGCCTCTTCTGTTGATGTCTTCCGTGTCCCGTGATAGAACATATTTCAGCACCTCCACATGTCCTCCAGAACAGACATAGTGAAGGATGTTGTCACCGTGGGCATCACTGAGTGACAGATTAGCTCCATTTTGTACGAGTAACTCAACCATGTCTTTATGCCCATTTCGTCCTGCATCCATAACTGGTGTCTTGCTGCTATTTCCTCTACTGTTGATGTCAACCGCGTTCTGTGAGAGGACATATTTCACCACCTCCACATGTCCTCTAAAACAGGCCAGGTGAAGGATGTTGTTACTGCGGTCAGCTTTGAGCGACAGATTAGCTCCATTTTTTACGAGTAACCCAACCACCTCTTTATGCCCCCTTTGTCCTGCTTCCATCACTGGTGTCATGTTGTCACATCCTCTACTGTTGATGTCAACCGTCTTCTGTGAGAGAACATATTTCAGCAACTCCACATGTCCTCCCGAACAGACATGGTGAAGGATGTTGTCACCGCGGGCATCTCTGAGGGACAGCTTGGCTCCATTTTGTACGAGTAACTCAACCACGTCTTTATGTCCCCTTCGTCCTGCTACCATCACTGGTGTCTTGTTGTTATTTCCTCTGCTGTTGATGTCTACCACGTTCTCTGAGAGAACATATTTCACCACATCCACATGTCCTTCCTGACATCCTAAGTGAAGGATGTTGTTACTGCGTGCATCTCTGAGTAACAGATTAGCTCTCTGATCAACGAGTAACTCAACCACGTCTCTATGTCCCCTTCGCCCTGCTACCATCACTGGTGTCTTGTTGTCATTTCCTCTACTGTTGATGTCCACCGTGTTCCGTGACAGGACATATTTCAACACCTCAATATGTCCTCCATGACATGCAGTGTGAAGGATGTTGTTTTTGCGTGAATTTCTGAGTAACAGATTAGCTCCATTATTAACGAGTAACTCAACCACGTCTTTATGTCCATTTTGTCCAGCACACATAACTGGTGTCGTTTTCCTCCATCCTCTACAGTTGACATCAACCGTTTCCAGCGAGATGATGTACTTCACTACTTCCACATGTCCTCCCTGACAGGCCAAGTGTAAGATGTTGTTACCGCGTTTATCCCTGAGTGCCTGATTAGCTCCTTGTTTTACGAGTAATCCTACCACTGCTTCATGTCCCCACACGCCTGCTACCATTAAAGGTGTCTTGTTTTTCCGTTCCCTACTGTTGATATCAACCATTTTCTTTGAGACGATGTACTTCACCACCTCAACATCCCCTCTCCTACAGGCACAGTGAAGGATGTTGTTACCTCTTTTATCAACGAGTGACAAATTAGCTCCTTTCCCTACTAGTAACTCCATCACTTCAAAATGTCCGTTCTCTGCTGCCAGCATCACAGGTGTTCTCCCGCAACGAACTCTGCCATTGATATCCACCCTGTCCTGGGAGAGGACATACTTCACCACCTCTACATCTCCACCCAAACAGGCTGCTTGAAGGATGTTGACACCGAGATTATCAACGAGTGACAGCTTAGCCCCTTTAGTCACAAGTAACTCAACCACATCTCTATGTCCCATACCAGCTGCCCACATCACAGGTGTTCTACCAATCCGGTCTTTGCAATCAATGTCTGCCTGTTCCTGTGACAAGACGACATTCACCTTTGATAGTTCGCCGGACTTTGAGGCGCTATGGAGGTCACACAGCGATGGTACTGTAACACAATGAAGGTAAAAAGAATGAAGATGCAGGACATCATATAATTCCGGAAAGTGAATGTGTTTACCTTAGGCTACGACGCAATGTGACATTAGTCACTAAACATGCAATGGACCCTGGCTAAAATGACCAGCATGTGGAACACAACTGGAAGAATTCAATTGTTGTTTTCATTATCCTGTTTTGCAAAACAAAACATATTCATTCAGTAGTTACAAATACAAAACAGCATAGATTTTGAGCAAATGATGTTTTGTGTTGTAACCAGGGGTATTGAGCAGAAAATAGACGGCCATTTTGTTTCTTTTATGATGCACCTGTTTTTTTCAAACACCTGTCTGACTTCATTATGTAGGAGAATGTGACCTTGTACTGACCTCATAACCTAGGTGTGTCACATCATTATGCAGAAACTTCGGGAAGGTATGACATCACATTAGGGCTTGTTTCTGTCTACAATATGTGGAGCAACACAATAGAATGTGCATTATGTAGTAATTATTGCATACAGTAATTATTTACGTGTAGTTAAATTACGTGTGTGTAAATTAAGCGACACAACACAACTATGTATACATTTTTATCTACTTGTAGCCAACTACGTCACGGTTCAGTGAATTTCTATAGATGCTTGAAAGGGTATTGTGTTGAGTGCTCAGGGGGCCCTCACGAGGCGCGTGCTGACCATGTTCAACGACTTCACAGTCGACCACACTTCTAAACCCTTGCCTGTTATCTCTTCAATGGAACAACACGGCATGTGACTCACCCATTGATAAAACAAGAGTAAATCGATGAACATGTAGGGTGACTCCATTCAATTCGTATACACGCTCGAACAGGGTTGTTCTGACAGATTGAATGAGGTGGTGTGTTTTTGCATTCTCGAATACTGACTGTCAAAACTGAATACCATTTCACATTTCCCACTCTGTGACGTTACAGAAGATGACATTACGACTTTATCTCCACGGTATTGCCTCAGTATAAGAACTAAATGCTGTTGCATGAAAAGGCATGCTTTTCAATTTTATCATTTTGATTGTAATAACCGATCTTTAAAGGCTCAGTGGCAGTGGACAGATTGGGGTACAACGCCCATTTTTATCCCCCGGTGTGTAATGCGGGGGAATATAGTCGACGCCTCGTCCGTCCGTACGTAATCATTTTGTTTCCGGAGCATAATTAAAAAAACGTTCCATATCTTTCTGCCAAACTTTGTGGATCTATCAAACAGAACCTAAAGTGGTGCCTTTTGCTATTTACAGAATTTCCTGATTTATTATTTTCTCGGTTTCCATGGAAACGTTCCGGACTTAGTCTCAATAGGGAGGCTTGGACTTCGTTTACAGAGCACAACTCAAAACTTCTTAATATCTTTCAGCAAAACTTGGCAGATATGTGAGGCAGATCCCAAAGTGGTGCCTTTTGCTATTTGCAGATTTTTGTCATTCTTATTTTTCTTGGTTTCCATGGAAACGATTTGGACTTAGTCTCAAAAGGGAGGGGTGGGTTTTGTTTCCGGATCACAACTCAAAAACTGTTTAATATCTGTTTACAAGACTTGACAGATATATCAAACAGATCTTGAAGTATTGCCTTTTGCTATTTGCAGATTTTTGGCATTTTCATTTTTCATGATTTCCATGGAAACGATTTAGACTTAGTCCAAAAATATTCAAGTTGGACTTGAAGTAACTGTCAGTTGATTTGTTCTTTGAAATTTATGGGGGCCGGGGGACTTCTTATCTTCTGATAACTCTTGTTTTCCATTTACAATAATATCAATTCGCTCTCTCCCAATCCTGAATCTCTTTTACTCTGATTGTTAAGTCGGCAGTACAATATCTCATGCGTCTAATGCATGGGGTTATAATTGGATATTTAAAAGTTACGTATATATACATTTGGATTTTTTGTAAAAAAGAAGATTGTTACAGGTTAAGAAATAACTTAATGGTTTATGCAGAGTAAGGTCGTTACCCGCTCTTATTCCACAGGCAGTATAGTATGATTAAATACTGGTGTAAGCTTCTTGTGACTGATAATAGTATTTTTGTGGGTTGTTGACTCATTAAGGCTGAGAGCTGCATATATGGGGCAAATTAATCAGCTCCTCACAGCGAGAGTCGTGTTTATGGGGCAGGTAACTGGCAGTTTCTCACAGCGAGAGCCACATATATTCGTTAAAAGAAAGCACCTGGCGTACTTTTAAAAAAATCGCACTGTACCTATTATTTCAACCAATTTAGTAGTACTGAGCAAATATTAGCCTTTCTTACGAGTTATGCTACCTTTAGTGTCAATCAGAAAAAGTATTTAAAGTGTTTTGATAGCAATTGCTAATCACTACCATAGGCTTATACAGCGTCTGGCAAATGAACACATGTCGGCGAGAAAGGGTATTATGATGTTTTTACAGAGGTAAGTGTCTGGTACTCTTCAATGGGAATGGATACTAAAACACTTCATTTGCACATCGATTGAATTAGATGTAATGGTTTAGAGGTTACTGAAGATTATATTTTCTTCAACATCCTAATACATAGGTAACAATATACGAAATTTCAACGACATACAAAGAATTCAAACACATTAGAATAGTTTGAATGTTACTTTTCAGGTATTATTACGTTGTCATTTTTCATATAATGAAACATAATGTTTAAACACAAAAAATTATACATCGAAGCTCGAATAGATTAGACATAATTTAACGTACTAACTTAAAGCTTACTGACTTGTAACTAGTTATTTTCCATAATCTAAAGTTGATAATATTACCTAATCGAATAAAAAGTGATAAGTCGCGCCTTTGCATCGAATATAATACATGTCAGTGTTATTACAACAATGAAATCTTTTACTACCTTTGTTACAGAACACAGTAAGTTGGTATTTCAAAAGATTCTTAGACACATCCAGAAGTGAGTGAGTGAGTTATTACATGTAAACCATGCAAAGGTATTTCAATCATTTATGTTCAATCTGTTGAAAGTTTCATGTTGATTTGAATTGTAAGTTTGAGTGATCAATTTGTGTGTGTGTGTTAATGCGTGTTAATGTGTGTGTTAGTGTGTGTGTCTCTGTGTGTGTGTGTGTGTGTGTGTGTGTGTGTGTGTGTGTCTCTGTGTGTGTGTTTGTAATAGAATATTAACTAGTAGCACAACTTCTCACATGGCAGATGGAATAATTGACTGAATGGAGAGAAACCTACCAAACTGAACATCGTACACTTCTTTGCTTCAAACTCTTACCTTGCATACAGACCATTCCACATCCATCATATAAACATTGGGAAGTCTCACTGCAGACCTCGGATCCACAAGATTTGGTGAGGACCTTTAGAGTGAAATAAAGTTGTTTGTCTTCTATCAATGTAAAGTCGATCGAAAAATCTTTTCGTTAATCGTACCATTTATTTTATCTCATTGCATGTCAGTATAGAACTTTTCAACGGTGTGTGTAAGAGCAACATATATCGGTATACAACTAATTTTTATATGGATATATAATGGTGGTTTTCAGACCATGACACTGACATAAATTACCACGATGCCCTAATCAAAAGGCAATTAAAATTACTCATTTTCGAACTCCTGAAAGAAATTTATTTTTCACACCGATACTGTTTTACGTGTTGACGCCAGCAGTGGCCCCTTAAAGGACCTTAAAGGATGATACTTGTTGTTGTCCTGTCTGAAGCTCAAGTTAAGAGATAAAACAAGAACAGGACAGCGTAAGAGATAAAATGAGCAAGAACAGGACAGCTTTAAGTCAGCCTAGCGTTGTTTTCTTCATGTTAAAACAGGGGGCATGGCATATGAACATGATACAGACATACAACCGCCATTACTCGTAGTACAACGTTACTCATACAAACGTAAACACGCACACACACTCATCTTCTCGCACCAACAAACACAAACATCACATACAGTTACATACACACACACACACACACACACACATACCTACGCGTATCTATTCACACACACACCAACACACATCTACACACACTGACACGTCTACACACAGCCAAACACACATCATCACACATATACACACATACACATACAGTATTTTTACAGATGCCTGTACTCATCCTCATGACAAAGGCATAACTTACAGTGGGATGATTCTCTGTCGATATACTGGATTTGCTCGTCTTTTCAGTCGTTTGGGGCCCATGACTTGATCGATGACAGGAAGCAAATATAAAGGAATCTTCAATACAGTCCACCTGACAAAACTTCATGTCAATATTTCTTAACAGGACAGATCTGCGCTTCATTTTCTCTTTTGTCTGAAGTCCACATTCTCTTGTACTGCATGTTGAAAATACAACCATGAAGCAAACAGTTATCGTCGATGCAATCTGCATTGAGCTACTTGTACACAGTGGCATCGCTGTACAGCATTAACTGTAGACTGCAGGGTCAACACACTGCTTAGAGCAATACAACACACTGGAAATGAGATTGCCTCCAGCTAGAAATTTCATTTTAACTGATTATCACGTGACATTTTACACCTTACAAGGAAGAGTGAGAAGAGGTCAATACAACATACATATTTGAACGGGATCGAGTGGACATGGTTAGACAAATGGCACCGTATCCCATTTGAGTTGATTGATGTTCATGCTCAATTGTCTGGTCCAGACTCGATGATTTAAAGACCACCGCCATATATCATGAATATTTTTGATATTTCCGGCCCCTTTCCCTTTCATCTGTCCAGTCACATAGCTTATGAACACCCATACAAATCGCATACCACATCGTATTACCCTTCCGTCAAATGAAAGCACTTTTGATTGGTTAATAGCCGGTGCATATGAAACCGTCCTCAAATGTTTCACTTTTAGTAT